GGTAGAGATCCTGAACTTCCATGAGCATGAATGCTTTGATTCCATGTAAACTTGGGTCATGCTTGTTTTCCAAATGTTTCATGTCTTTATTCATCTTCAAAAGTGTCTCTTTCTCACTTATCCAATTCAAGACTTAATCAGTTTTCTAAGATCTGGCCAAAAATTCCGCATGCATCATGTCACTAGAACTAGCGTGAAAAGAATTATGCACAAAATGGATACAAAATGACTTGCTGTTTTTATTGAATGAAGGATAGCAGGGTCCAATAACACAAAAAGAAGAAGAAAAGAAGACAAAATAAGCTACCATGGCTGAAGGAGGAGTGACTTTCCAGTTACTAAGCGACATCTTAGCCACGGACTTGCAAATCAGCATTACTATGACATTCGACCAATTTTATTGCTATGGATTCAGCATTCAAATTTTGACTTTTGATCAAATCATTCCCTATATTGGTTGTCGGATTTCAGGATTGACAACATGGGAATTTTCACAGTAGCTAATTCGCCAAAGGACTTGGACGAATTCTCATGTCCTCCTATCATCACGGATCATCCCAGCAGAGTATGTTCTGTTGCTCAAAACTGGTAGAAGTCAGCCAACATTTGCCTCTATTTTATTACTAACTTGTCTTACTTGCTTTTCCATGACCTTAGTTGGACCAACAATAGTGGTTCTTGTTCCTTCGGTTGAGAAGATGATTTTATTTCTGAGGGGTCCTGGACTCGCCGTCGCAAACCAACAAACCGACCACCTTTAACCAAGTTTTATTTCAAAACAACAAACACGTTAGAATGAATGCTCTCTTTCTTTTTTTCCTTTTTTTTTTCTCTTTTCTCTTTTTTTTTTCTTTTTTTGTTTTCTTCTTTTGTCACTCTTTTTTCTTTTTTTTCTTTTTTTTCCCCTCTTTTTTCAAAATCATTCGATCGAACCTCATGTGGGTTGCCTATGTATCATATGGGAACATGAATCAGATCTTGCGTAGTTCGGGAAGATTAGGAATAAAGTAAATAAACTAAATCTTTTTTTTTACTTTTTTATAACACTCAGACCATGAAGGCGTTTAGAAAAGAATATATGTTTTTTTGAAGTTTTCGAAAGAAAGGCTTTTAAGGAGGAAAGAAAATATTTTTGGATTTTTGGTTTTGATTTTCTAAAATTTTCAAAAGAAAGACTTCTAAAGAAGAAAGAAAATATTTTTTTTTGAATTTTTTGAATTTTTGGAAAAAGACTTCTAAAAAAAGGTAGAAAATATTTTCTTGGGTTTTGATTTGATTTGTTTTTTTTTCTCTAATGAAAAACTTTTATATATAAAAAAATAAAAATAAAAGGAAAAATAATTTTGGGCTTAAAATCTCTTTTTTTTTTTCTTATATTTCTAAGAAAAGACTCCTAAAGAAGAAATTAAAGAAAAATATTTTTGGGTTTTTAAAAATTGGGATCTAAAAGAAAGACTTTCTAAAGAAGGAAGTAAAGGAAATTTTTTTTGAATTTTTTGAAAATTATGGGCCAGAATCAAAGAGGTTTGCCTACGTATCTCACATTCGGTGAGAATCAGACCCGCGTAGTTCGATTAGTTTTGACATAATTGGAAAAAACATGATATTGAGTCACTTTCATTCTTTGAAATACATTTTCCTTTCTTTCCTTTTTTTTCACCTCCTCTTCGCGAACGCGGCCTAGCCCACGCGTTCACGATGCACTGTTTCCCCAACCTACACGATCGCGTACCATAGCTAACGATCATACTAAACAACCATCACAGCTGCTCCAACTAGCCTACGCGGCGGACCTTCCCATGCGATCGCGTATAAGGAAACCAGAACTGGACACCAGAAGTTCTTCAGCAGTCTTCCAAGTCCAAAATTGATCCGTTAACCATCTGAAACCCACCCGAGGCCCCCGTGACCTCAATTAAACCTACCAATAGGTCCTAAAATATCATACGAACTTAGTCGAGCCCTCAAAAATCACATCAAACAACGCTAAAACCACGGAGCGCACCCCAATTCAAGCTTAATAAACAAAGGAAATTTCAACTTCTACAAACGATGCTGAAACCTATCAAATCAAGTCCGATTGACCTCAAATTTTGCACACAAGTCACATTTGATATTACGGACGTACTCCAACTTCTGAAATCGAAATCCGACCCCAATATCAAAAAGTCCACCCCCGGCCAAACTTCCCAAAAACCTTTCAATTTTCAACTTTTGCCAATTAATGCCGAAATAACCTACGGACCTCCAAATCAGCATTCGTACGCGCTTCTACGACCAAAATCACCATACGGAGCTATTGGAATCGGCGAAACTCCATTCCGGAGTCGTCTTGTCAAAAGTCAAATACGATCAACTCTTACAACTCAAATTTCAAACTTAGGGACTATGTGTCTCATTTCACTCCGAAATTCACCCGAACCCGACACCAAGAAACCCGGCAAGTCAAGTAAGCATAAAAATGAAGCAAATGGGAAAATAAATAGGGGATCGGGGCTAGTACTCTTAAAACGACTGACCGGGTCCTTACATATATTTATAGCGATCTTTCATTCTTTTTAGGATTAGATTTAGGCGTGATCACTTATCATTTTATTGAATTTATTACAAAGTGTGTTATAAATTTTATGATGATCATAAGATTTTTAATTTTGTCTAGATATTTTTTTGCATGTTTGTTGAAGGATAGTACCACACTTTCCTCATTAGTTAATGTAAGGTAAAATTTGACCTTCTTACAGCTTGTTTGGATGGTTGTTACCTATCATATCGTATCGTATTTTTACTTTAAATATAATGTTTGTTTTGATTGTTACTTAAATTTTATTGTATCGTATCGTTAAATCCGTCGTTACGTAACGATGAAATGTGCCACTTTATGTAACGACCGATTTGGTGTGGCCGCGTCGTTTCCTTGTGTTTTTCTCTCAATCTCACCCTTTATTATTACTAAATAATTTTATTTTATCATTTACGCTACCTTTTTATATAGCGTATCATAATTTTTCTTTATAATATTACAAGTTTATTCATCATATCACAGGTGTGTGATACCATGAAACGATGCCAAAACGACACAATCCATCCAAACATTGTATTCATCAAACGATACAGTACAATACAATACAATACGATACGATACATTATGAAACGATACGTAACAACCATCCAAACAAGTTACATTTGATGATTATTATTAATAGGCGAAATACATAAATGGCCCCTTCAAGTTGTCCACAACGGTCATTTGAACACCTCAACATACCTATTTATCAAGTAGACACTTCAAGTGTCTGTTAAGTAAATCAAATAGACACTCCGGTACAACATACCAGATGCGTGAGTTACACTTGCTAAATGAGCCAATCAATGAACGACACGTGTAATTTGTAATTAAAACTTAACACAAATTAACCAAAAAACAAATAAATTTAAATGAAAAAACCCTTCCCCAGCGTCTTTTCTCCTCCTCCCCCCTCCCTCCCTCTACCCCCCCCCCCCCACCTCTAACTTCATCTTCCTCAAACTCATCTTCCTCAAACTCATCTTCTATATTTATAAAAGTTGTGGAAATTCGAATGACCCATTTATCAAAATTTCCGGGAAATTCGAAGGGGTATTGCTATTTGAGCCACTAACTTTAGAGCTAGAAAAACAGCTGGATCTTGCCGACAGACATATTAAAGCAATGCTCCCATTTTTTTTTTTTTGAATAATCAAGATACACTCTGGATCACAAGTGTTTGAAAACTTCCAAGTTAAATTTTTTTGCACCAACAGAAAATACTACTCTTGATTGGAAGCTCACTTAAGCTTGACAATCCAACCCATCTTCTCCTCTGCGAGTCCCATTTGTAGACTAGTAAGTGCAGAGTATAATTGCTGCGACACAAGACCAACCCCGTTATTTCCATATGTTACCCTTTTCCCTTGATGAGTAATGCTACCCACAGGAGATACAAACACTGCTGTTCCCGTACAAAAAACTTCATCAGCATCAAGCAATTCATCCACGGACACCAGTCGTTCCTCAACCTGGAATCCTTGACTGAGAGCTACGTCGATTATGCTCTTTCGTGTAATACCAGGCAGAATTGTCCCTTTAATTGCAGGAGTTACTATCAGATTACCCTTCACATATTTTGCTGATTTTCTTGCTCGATCAATCGTTCATTTGGCAATTATTTCTTCACTAACTTTAAATTTGTTGAATTTGATGTGATGATATATTTGGTAATTTTTGTTCTTTTGTAATGGAGGCAAAGGTGATTTAGGGTTAGAGGAGGGTATTGAATGGTGGAGGAGAGAATTGGAGGAGAAGGGGGTATGAAAATTAAGTGGGGTCCACATTATTTTAGTAAAAAAAGAAAGAAAAAACCTAATTTTAGGTTGGCAACTCGCGTCCTAGAGAGTGAATTTCACGCAATGGGAGCTAACATGGTCGGGTGTTTAGTTGATCTTCTATTGTGAATAAATAAAGGGTCTAATTGAAAATAGGCTCACTTGAGGTGTTCAGCTGGTCGTTGAGGACAACTTGAAGGGGCTGTTTATGTATTTCGCCTTATTAATATACACAAGTTATTTATATATACATTTATCATTTAATTAATATTTACTTTTCCATCAACTTATCACTTATTATAATAAATTAATACTTTCACTTTTCCTATTTATGTGATATAATTTTTAAGTTTGTCTAAGAAAATAGTATCGTTTTATATTTGAAAATAACTTAATTTTAAAATTCTCTTTTACCCTTAATAAGATGTTTTATACTTAAACAAATATATACAACTTCTTTTTGAATTTAGACCATAAGTCATTAACATGACCACATAAAATAGGAGAAAGGAGTATTATAATTTAGTGTTGAGTTTTTGAAACTCACTCTCCCAAATGCCCCTAAACCCCAAGAAAACCCAACCCCAGTAGGACCCACCCACCCATAGCTGCCGTCACCACTCCACCCACCCCACCACCCACTCACCAACTTGAGGGCATCTCTGTGCGCATGTGATGTGCCAACATTCCCAAACACGTTCTCACCTTATTCTTTAGATCTCCGTCAACCTTTGCTGCCACCTTTGCAATTTCACCATTTACCCTCATTTATATGCTCATTCCTCCAACAAAATCTGCCCATCTCACTTACTGCATTTCTTTCTTCCTTTTTTCTTTGCCCCCATTTTTTTCTCTTTTGGTTTGCTCACTCAGCTTTTCCTTTTTTCAGTACATACTCTCTCGTCCCTAAAAACTCATTCCTAATACTATTCAAGATTAGACCAATTAATCATTTTCCAGCCTTTAGACTTAATAAATTCAAAATAGCCACCAATAGAACTTCTGGTCTTTTTTTTTTTTGGTAAACAAACTTGTGTTGCAAGATTTACTGGCCTGCTCTTCTCTTTTCAGCAAAACCCTACTGTTTAAAAAGCTCCAGTCTTTGGTTTGAAAAGGGTAAAAAGTTTGGAGCTTGGTTCCTATTTTGCTGTTAAAATTGCTTGTTTTAGATCCTGGGTTTTGGAAAAAGATATCATTTTGATGATCTTTTCCTGTAAATTTTGATGTTAGATTGTTGATTAGATTTGGTTTGATAAAATTAAAATCCCTAGAAGGGAATCTTTGATGGTTAATTGATGCAATCCAGAGTTGTTGAAATGGAGGAGAATAAAGATCCATTAGTAGTTGTAGGTAGAACTAACCACCAAACTAGGGCTTTGCCACAGAGGCTGCTACAGTTACTGATGCTGTTTTTGTTTTTGTGTTTTACCTTTTCTGTGGCTAGTATTTATATGATTAAGTACTTTGGATTTCATAGTATAGTTCCTTCAGTAAAGCCTAGTTTACAGCCATGTATTGAGGAAGAATCAAGTAAATTAGAGCGTTGGATTAGTCCTCCGTCTAATTTGATGCATACTATGTCTGATAAAGAGTTGTTATGGAGGGCTTCTATGGTTCCGCGAATTAAGAAGTATCCATTTAAGAGGGTTCCCAAGATTGCATTCATGTTCTTGACTAAAGGGCCATTGCCGTTGGCACCTATTTGGGAGAGGTTTTTTAAGGGGAATCAAGGACGTTATTCAATTTACATTCATTCATTGCCCTCATTTAAGGCTGATTTCCCGTCCTCATCGGTGTTCTACAAGCGGCAAATTCCCAGTCAGGTATGTTCATGCATATTTTGCCTTCATTTGTACATGTCTGCTGTATCAATCTATACCTTGATATTTTTCTTGGTTTATGTTTGTTTTCATGTCTTTTAAGTTGAAAACCATGTGCTAACTTGTTCCCGAAAAGGATATGTGGCTAAATATGTACTAGATTGCATTTTCCCTTGTTAGACCAACTCATGCATCCTTAATGACAGGAACTACATTCATTTAGGTTTCCTATTTTTGGGTTGAGGGAACTCATCTATTTTTCATGACCATAAAGTCATTCCTAATTAATGTCTAAGTTGGGCTGGAGCAATAAAAGGACTTCTGGCTGTTATGATCAATCCTACGTTTGCTTTGCCATTATCGGTGGGATATATCAAAAGTTAAGATTTTCCTTTGATATGGTAAACCCAATCTCCTAAACCCCTCTAAGCACAGGTGTCAACTGTGATCCTTTCCCAGTTTGCTCCATTGGTGACCAAAAGCTCCATCCTCAAGGTTGGAGGTGGAGGTTCACTTCTGCTAGGCTATTTGTATTGTTTGTGCTTGTAGTAAGAGACGTGTGTTTAATTTGAAGTTGAGGCAAGCATATCTAAGAGAGTAAGACTTATGGAAATGTGGTATTTTGTCTATATATCATGATGAACACTGCAGACAATTTGGATGAAATGTCTGTTTGTATTTAAGGTGGCAAGCATGATCAATCAGTTGATATTGTACTATAAGTTAAAGACATGGTTAATGAATATGTGGTTTTTGTCCTTGTGTTTTCCTCTTTGCAAACCATCTGAAGATTGGATTCTGGAACACATCATTACTAGCTTCTTCAAGGAGAGCTTTGAACATTTATGCAAATTCTCTCTACAAGTATCAGTGAGCAGATCTAGTTGTGGAATAACGGATACAGAGATGATGACTGGATCTTAAATTTGCACTGTCGGGTAGGATTAAGTGGGAAAGCAAATAATATAGAAGAACTTGTTTGATGTCAACACTTCTAAGATCTTAAATCCTGTAGTTTGAACTAGTTACCGCAGGGGCCTTTGTTTATGAATAAAAACTACTTTTCAAGTCAGCAGGATATCATTTATGATATCTCTTCTAATAAACTAGCATGAGATTGCAAGGTCTGTGCAGTGATTCTTGTTGGGCAGTTTCTTTCAACAAGTCATGCAGGTCGCTTTCACTGGTTGCAGTGAGTTTCCATCTCCTTGCCAAATGGCTGTAGAGTATTCCTAGAAACTTTGTGGTTGTTTATGAATAGAGGCTACCTCCATTGTTGTTCTTTTGACTCACCATATATCTGAATCTATGGGCAACCAAATTTAAAAGTAATGGAGTGATGGTGTGTTAATGACTTTACGTCATCCTCCAGTTGCTCCGTGTGATGATATCTCAGGAACACGCTTGTGGACCTGGAGTGTACTTGTCTATTCGGGCACGCCAGTTGGTGGTTGATCTAGAAGTGGGTGACTTGGCTTCTGGATATTTGAACCAGAGGGCTTGCCCTGTAAGTTAATGCTGAAAATCTAGTTGAAGAATCTTGATTTAAGTTTAGGATGGTCTGTTCGAGTGGTTAAATATTTGCTGTTGGCTGTGCTCTGATAATAAAGTAAAAGCTCCGCAAACCTCTTATTTCAGTCTTTGCTTCTAAACTCGTTTTAAATAGCTCTGCCAAGGGGAATATTGTGAAGGTGAAAACTAATGTCAAGGATCTGTTTGCTAGGAGCATATATTTCTCACATTTGTCAGTATTCTCATCCAAGATATGCTAACACTTTTTTGGTTTTAGTTTATATGATCTGTTTCGCTCATTCCTCTCCAGAGAACTGAGCTGATCCTCTCTTTCCCATAGGTAGTAGGAAAGTGAGCGGGATGATGAAAAGGAGAAGCTTTTAAAGTGAAATTTCAAAATGTATGAAAGGCTAACAGCTAATCATATTGTGTAGGTATGCAAGTGGCAGAGGATTAAGTTTGGCTGTCAGTTCTTATGCATGAATGTTATATATAATGTCGTAGGATTAGCATTTTTAATTCCAATCAGTTGAAACAAATAATGGAGGTTATTCCGTAACAAGAACAATATAGCACTTAGCTTACTTTCTGATAAGAGAAGCAACAGTACTCAAACAAACAGGACTTTCTTTTGTAATATCAATCCTCTGCAGCAGTCCGGGACACTACTATCATTCCGTCAAATGCTGTTCTTCCTTAAATTAGCTGCCAATGAATGATAGTGCGTCCAAGTAGCAGTTTGTTAATGTAGCTTGCTGCAAAAACATTGACGAAAAGTTTCTCAGGATAGTGCAAAACCTCCTTTTTTTCCTTCACATTTTTGGTGTTCTGTTTCATCTTTTTCTGCTGCTAGTTGCTCTTCTGAGCCGAGGGTTTATTGGAAACAGCGTCTCTACCTTCACTAGGTAGGGGTAAGGTCTGTGTACACACTACCCTCCCCAGACCTCACATGTGGGATTATACTGGATATGTTGTTGGGTATGTTGTTGTTGTTCTGCTGCTAGTTGCTCGTGACTACTTTTTTATGCTTGTAGATATCTCATGTTCTCTATGGCTGTCTCTTTGGTATGGTTTTGTGTCCTTACTTCACTAGATACTGCTTTGTGAAACGTGTTTGTATGGAATTGGGTTGTAAGTTGCTGATGATCTCGTAACTTTGTTCTTCAAAGGTGACAGAATGGGGAAAGATGAGTATGTGTGATGCGGAGAGAAGACTCATTGCGAATGCATTGCTTGACATCTCCAATGAATGGTTTGTTCTGCTTTCCGAGTCGTGCATTCCCCTCTACAATTTCAATGTCATCTACAAGTACATAAGTCAGTCGAAGCATAGCTTTATTGGTGCATTTGATGATCCTGGACCATATGGAAGAGGTCGATATGATGAGAATATGTTACCTGAGGTTAACATTACTGACTGGCGCAAAGGATCACAGTGGTTTGAAATCAATAGGAAGCTTGCTCTTTACATAGTTGAGGACACAAAATTCTACCCCAAGTTTGCGGAGTTCTGCAAGCCAGCATGTTACGTAGACGAGCACTACTTCCCGACTATGCTGACTATTCAAGCATCAAATCTGTTGGCAAACAGAAGTATAACATGGGTTGATTGGTCGAGGGGCGGGCCGCACCCTGCTACATTTGGAAAATCAGATATCACCGAAGAGTTTATGAAGAGAATGTTGGCAGGGCGTAACTGTACTTATAACGAGCGAAATATATCAACGTGCTTTCTTTTTGCGAGGAAGTTTGCACCAAGTGCTTTGGAACCTCTGTTTCTGCTAGCCCCAAAATACTTAGGTTTCTAGATTTTGTAGAAATCTATTTTTGTTGTATAATTAGAAAGATTATACAGTTAAGACAGGGCTCTTCAGAATTTCTTGGATCATTGCATATTTTTTTTGCCCGCGTGTTGATATTGTTGTTGGACTGCTTTACTGATACTGTTTTTTAGCCACTTCCAACCTTGAAGCCTATTATGTGATTATTATTCCTTTGCTTCGTTATTTTTTTCCTTTTTGATATTTTTATGATAGCTAGAAGAAAGAACATGCAGTTGAATAACGGAAAAAACTTGCTCATAATTAGTGTTTAGGCCACTCTAAAGTAACTAATGTGTTTTTTACATGCATTTTTGTTACTTAGTCATGGTTAACTAATGTAGACTTTTACACTAGGGTGATTAAGGACATGTTTGATAAAGCTAAGATTCGGGTTAAGGCCGCAGGAGGAGATTCGGAATACTTTCTGGTTATGATGGGGTTGCACTAGGGATCAACTCTTAGTCCATTCTTATTTTCCTTGGCGATGGATGCATTGACGAGACACATTCAAGGTGATGTGTCATGTTGTATGTTATCTGCAGATGACATAGTTTTAATCGACGAGACACGGGGTGGTGTTAACGAGAGGCTGGAGGTTTGGAGGCAAACTCTAGAGTCTAAGGGTTTCAAGTTGAGCAGGATCAAGACGGAATACATGGAGTGCAAGTTTAGCAACGGTACCTAGGAAGGGGATATGGCGGTGAGGCTTGATACGCAAGTCATTCCCCAAGAGAGATAGTTTCAAGTATCTTGGATCTATAATACAAGGTAACGGGGAGATTGATGAAGATGTCACGCATTGTATCAGAGCAGGATGGATGAATTGGAGGCTCGCTTCCGGTGTCTTGTGTGATAAGAATGTGCCGCTGAGACTTAAAGGTAAGTTCTACAAGGTTGTAATTAGACCGACTATGTTGTACGGAGCAGAGCGTTGGCAGGTCAAGAACTCTCATATCCAGAAGCTAAAAGTAGCTGAGATAAGGATGTTGAGGTGGATGTGGTGGGTATACCCGGTTGGATAAGATTAGGGATGAAGTTATTTGGGAATAGGTGGGAATGGCCCCTGTGGAGGATAAGATGCGGGAGACGAGGTTGACATGGTTCGGGCATGTTAACAGGAGAAGTATAGAAGCCCCAGTTAGAAGCTGCGAGCGGTTAGCCTCGGTGGGCAGCATGAGGGGTAGAGGTAGGCCTAAGAAGTCTTGGGGAGAGGTTATTAGGCGGGACATGGCGCAGCTGAAGCTGACTGAGGACATGGCCCTAGACAGGAGGGTGTGGAGGTCAAAGATTAGGATAGAAGGTTCGTAGGTAGTCGAGCGTTTCTCTTTGTCTTATTCAGTTCGCTAGCATTAGTGTTAGTATGATATCTTTTATTCATAAATGGCTATTACTACTTAGAGTTTGACTGCGTTCTTGGATTCAATCTTATTTCATCTTGCTGTTATTCCTACTTATTTCAATTACCTTTTCTTTTTCAGTCGTTCTCTAGCCCAGGGTCTATCGGAAACAACCCCTCTTCTCTTCCAGGGGTAAGGGTAAGGCTGCATACATCTTACCCTGCCCAGACTCCACTCGTAGGAAATTACTGGGGTGGTTATTGTTGTTAATAGTAATGTGGTATGGTGTAGACATCAGATGACTATTCTTTTATCTGATAATTAACCGTGATGGATACAGCCATACAGGCTACAGCCTACAGCTAGATGAAACCAAATTGAATCTGATCAAATACAAATTGAAGCCGGAGAAGTTCTTGTAATAATTGTGCTACTACTTTTTACACAGAATTTTTTTCTCCTCTCTAATTTGTGCTATTCAGCATCTATGTGGTGATGCTTCAGTTACCTAATTCATGAACTTAAAACAAGCTTTATGCTCTGACTCGTTCTTTAATAGTATTATATTTATATTTACGTTTTTTGTTTAGAGCCCCTACCCCCTCCCCCCCCCAAATTTTTTTTTTCAGTTTTAGTTTTTTTTATCAATTTAAAGGTTCAAAATTTTACAAGTACCAAAGTTATGAGTTCAGAGGTTTATGTGTTTGGAAATTTACGGGTTTAGAAATTATAAAGTTTACGGGTTCGAAATTCCGCGGTTTCGAAAGTTTAGCGGTTCGAAAGTTTATGAAATTTGTGGATTCGGAAGGTTGTTGGTTTGAAAGTTTATGGCTTCATGTTTATTATATCTAAATTATTTATGAATACTCTTGAGAAGTCATTTTCCTTAATTTGCGTATCAAACACCGGAAAATGAATAAGATTACTACTTGTTTTTCAGGAAAATGTTTTCCATTTTCCGTTATACCAAGCACACCCCTATTCTAGCTGGTAACCACAAACATACGAAAGTTACGGAGACTCAGAGAGTTGGAACGTAGAACGTAGAGAAGCAAAATATTACAACTCTGCATTCGGGTTACCAATTGGGTTAGGTGGTGGGGCGAAACGTAAAGAAAGGTGAATGTACAAAGCGTTAAGTGGGAAAGATACCCTTAAATACACTACTGTCCAGTAAAGGGATCTTTGATTCATGCCATTTGTCCATAGACTATTTTAAGGGTTGAAATTCATTTCATAACTTAACCTTGCTAAAAGAAGAAGAATAGGAATCTCTTCAACAATTTAAAGCAATACATCTAACAAAAGTTTTGACCATTGTATTGTTGGACTTTAAAGGTATTGGGCTTCAAAGACTTTAAGCATTGGGCTTTAAAGTCTAAGAGTGTGAATTGAAAATGGTGGAAAATAAAATGGAGGGAAATGAAAATTTGAATAAAGTGAGCTTTTGACTTGCACTTTGTCCCTCATTGGTGAGGGACAACTACATTTGTGTGCTTATATATAGAATCACTTCTTAAAGCTCTTAAAAGGAGTTGAAGAGAATGAACCCTCGCGCCGTCGTCGTCGCTCACTCGGCTCGGCTTCGGCTTCGGCTTCGGCTTCGGCTTCGGCTTTGGATTTGTCAATCGATCGATAAGATTACTTTGGACAAAGTTTATTTAATAATTAATTAAATGTCAGATCACTGCTGAAGATTCAGAAGGATAGTCTGGCCACGGTCCTGGCGTAACCGCGGTAGGACCGCGCCACTGCTGCAGATTCAGAAGGCTAGTTTGGTCGCGGTCCTGGCGTAACCGCGGTAGGACCGCGGCAGGACGCGTAAACTTCTGAACAGACACCTTTTCCAGAACAAACATCACACCTCTTCCAATAATTGCCTATAAATTCTGAGGCATGGCTGCGTTTTTAACACACCAAAAACATTACAGAACTTCCTTCTTTTTGAAAATACTGCATTCTAATTCCCAGTCTCTCTCTCTCAAATTCGTAAGTGTGATTTTTCTCCGTTCTTTGAGTTCGTCGGTATCCTGCAGTTTGTATTGCCACTGTTGCAGGAAGGTTTATTCCGTTTCATCCTGGGAGGATTTAATCCATTACCTTGGCAACTTGTGAGCGGGTTAAAATTCCTTAAGGACGCACAAGCAAATTGTGGACTCGGAATATTTCTTATTCTTTACTGTTTTCCAGTTTCTTTTATTCTTCTAACAGTTTTCTGATTTTGTGTTTTAACACAGTAGCGAACGACAAGCTTAAGAAAATTTATACTAACGTTTCTGTGTTGAAATATATATTAAATTGTTATTTATATTTTGTATACTGGTTTGGAGACTAAAGCCTTCGTGCTTTCTACTCCAATAATTGTTCTATCCGGTTTAAAGTATATCAAAACTTTACCGGAATAATAAACGTACGGGTTTGAAGTATATAAAAACTTCACCATTGTTACGTGTTGTATGTTTGGTTTGGTATTCAGTTTGAAGATATCAAAACTTCACTGATTTAACAAAGTTCTGTTTTGTTTCCAACTCTACAGAAAAATGACGAATGAAAACCAAACTAATGGAAATGTTGCGGGAATGGGTGCTACTGTTACGAGTGTTGCTGCCTCGTCAAGCCGTTCAACTCCTGCTCATGCTATGGCACCAGCAGAAAAACCCGGAAAGTTTTCCGGTATCGACTTCAAACGCTGGCAAATGAAGATGCTCTTCTATCTTACTACGTTGAGTTTGCAGCGATTCATCAAGGAGGATCCTCCGGTCTTGGCTGAAGGCACTCCGGATGACGAACGATTTGTTGTAACTGAAGCATGGAAACATTCTGATTCTTGTGCAAAAACTACATTTTGAGTTGTTTGGAAGATAGGTTGTACAATGTCTATAGTGTTATGGAAACTTCAAAAGCGTTATGGAATGCACCTGAGAAGAAGTACAAGACGGAGGATGCCGGACTTAAGAAGTTCGTGGCTGCAAGATTTTTGGATTTGAAGATGATTGACACTAGGTCGGTCATAACTCAAGTCCAAGAATTACAAGTCATTGTGCATGACCTCCTTGCTGAAGGTATGACCCGAATCAATAATTTTATTAATAAGATTTATCTTGTTATTAATTATGAATTTATTATTGAAGGTATGGTCATAAATGAGGCCTTTCAAGTCGCCGCTTTCATTGAGAAGTTACCTCCATTGTGGAAGGACTTTAAGAACTATACAAGCGGAAGGAGATGACACTCGAAGACTTGATTGTTCGTTTGAGGATAGAAGAAGACGACAAAAATGCTGAAAGAAGTCACGTGAAAACTCGACAATAATAAGGGCTAATATTGTTGAGGAGGCGCCACAAAATAAGAAGAGAAAGAAGGCTTCTGGACCAAAGAATTACCCAAGCAAGAAAAAGTTCAAGGGTAATTGCCACAACTGTGGAAAATCTGGGCATAAGGCCGTGGATTGTCGTGCACCAAAGAATGATAAGAAGAAGAAGAATCAAGCTAACATGGTTGAAAATGCTGAAGAAATGGAGGACTTGTGTGCCATGTTGTCTGAATGCAACTTGGTAGGAAATCCTAAAGAATGGTGGATAGATTCTGGAGCCACCCACCATGTGTTGTGCTAACAAGGAGTTATTTTCTTCTTATGCCCCCGCAGGACCCGACGAGACAATTTTCATGGGAAATTCGTCTACAGCCAAAATTGAAGGAGTTGGCAAGATTACGTTGAAGATGACGTCGGGAAAAATAGTGACTCTAAACCAAGTTCTCCATGTTCCAGAAATTCACAAGAATCTTGTGTCTACCTCACTTCTTGTCAAGAATG